AGCCATTTGTCCTCGCCTTGGTGACCAGGCTGCCGTGCAGAACAGTGCCAAATGATTTGCACATGTCCAAGTAGATGATGCCAGCTGCTCTTCACAGAATCACAGAATCACAGAATTGTAGGGGTTGGAAGGGACCTCCAGAGATCATCGAGTCCAACCCCCCTGCCAAAGCAGGTTCCCTACAGCAGGTCGTACAGGTCGGCATCCAGGCAGGTCTTGAACATCTCCAGAGAAGGAGACTCCACCACCTCCCTGGGCAGCCTGTTCCAGTGCTCCGTCACCCTCACTGTAAAGAAGTTCTTGCGCATGTTTGTGCGGAACTTCCTATGCTGCAGTTTCCAGCCGTTTCCCCTTGTCCTGTCTCCACTCACCACTGAAAAGAGTCCGGCCTCGCCATTCTGCCCCCCACACCTTAGATATTTATAGACCTGGATCAGGTCCCCTCTCAGTCTCCTCCTCTCAAAGCTGAACAGACCCAGTTCACTCAGCCTTTCCTCATAGGGGAGATGCTCCAGGCCCTTCACCATCTTCGTGGCCCTCCGCTGGACTCTTTCCAAGAGATCCCTGTCTTTTTTGTACTGGGGAGCCCAGAACTGGACGCAGTACTCCAGATGAGGTCTTACCAGGGCAGAGTAGAGGGGGAGGATCACCTCCTTTGACCTGCTGGCCACGCTCTTCCTTTATGCACTGATGCTGTAACTGTCATTAAAAGACCTGCAAGTTTGTCAGGCATGATTTGATGTTGGCAAAGCCACACTGGTTACAATCAATCACCTCCTTTATTTTCCATGTGCCTCGGTGGGGCCTCCAGGAGGATCTGCTCCACGATCTTGCCAGGCACAGAGCTGACACCGACTGCAGTTCCCCGATCATTCTTTTTCCCTTTCCAATCGCTGGTAACTCCTCCAGACTGCCAGGACAAATATGATGGGCAGCAGCTTGGCAGCTTCACTGCCAGTTCCCTCAGAACTCATCGGGTTCCCACGCAGCTGTGCCTTTATGTTCTTTAGATGGTCTTGAACCTTGTGCGGGCGCTGCTGAACCACGGCCTGAACCACGACCACCTGGGGCGAGCTGTGAGGCAGCCCTGGGAGCACAGGTGAGGCGATTCGGCTGTGCTGCTGGAAGGGGGGAGCCTGGCTGCGCCTCTCCTGGGCCCACTGAAGAGCTGGCTGCTGGTGGGCAGAATCTCTGCTGGAAGTCGCTCGTCTTGGCATCTTTTCAGCGAGCCCAAGACAAGGGAAAGCTTTCCATCCATTCTTCTTTGGTGTGATTACCTGTTGAGCTTAGCTTTCCTGTATATTTCTTAATTATAACAACTGTGTGTATTTATTGATTATGCAAACCCCATCTTCGCTTGCAGCAGCTCTGCCTTCTCCCAGTTCTTACCATTGCTTTCTGCAGCTTGGGCAGAGTGGCACTGAGCCCTGGCCAGTGAAGGCTGAGGCAAAGAAGTCATGGAGCACCTCGGCCACATCCCTCATGACCAGGGCTTGTTTCCTTCAGGACAGGGCCCACATCCTCCCTGGCCTTCCTTTTAGAATCATAGAATCACAGAATCACCAAGGTTGGAAAAGACTTAAAAGCTCATCCAGTCCAACCGTTCACCTATTACCAACAGCTCCCACTAAACCGTGTCCCTCAACACAACATCCAGTCTTTCCTTGAACACCCCCAGGGTCGGTGACTCCATCACCTCCCTGGGCATCCATTCCAGTGCCTGACCACCCTTTCTGAACAGTAATACTTCCTGATATCCAGCCTGAATCTCCCCTGCCGTAGCTTGAAACCATTCCCTCTGGTCCTATCACTATCACCTTTTATCACGGATCCACCTTGGTTACAAGAATTTCTTGTTCAAGAATTTCTTGTTCCCCTTGATGTCCCTGGCTAGATTTAATTGTTTGGGTTTTGGCTTTCCGAGCCCAATCCTTGACTGCTTTGGCAGCTCCTTTGCAGCCCCCCAGGTAATGCTGTTCCTGCTTCCACCCCCACAGACCTCCTCTTTGAGTGGAAGTCCAGGAGCTCCTCGTTGATCCACGGAAGCCTGCCGGTACCCTTGCCTGCATTCCTCTTCCTGGGGATGCACGGCTTCTGGCCTCGGAGGAGATGGGCCTTGAATACCAACCAGCTTTCTTGGGCCCCCTCCCCTCCCGTGCTTTCTCCCACGTCTCCCTGCCAAGCAGTGCCCTGACAAGTTCCACTTTCGCTCTCCTGAAGCTCAGAGCAGCCCTTTGCCGTGCTCCGTCTGTGACGCCCCGAGGATTTTGTACCCTGCCGTTCGTGGTCACTGCAGCCCCACGGACCGCAGCCGGCCGCCGGTAAGGGGGTTCGTGGCCCCCAACGCGTTCCTCCCCTCCCGTTCCGCACCACGGGCCGCAGCCGCCGCGTCCCGCTGAGCCGCTGACGCCGCGGTCAGCGCACGGTCGCAGCTCCTCCCGCTTCCTCGCGGTCGCCGCACGGCGTCGGGCCGGGTTACCGACGGTCCGCTCCTCCTGCACGCGGCGCTCCCGGGTCGCGGTCCGTCCGCGCCGACGTCGGCCCCCCCCCCCCCGCCGCGTCGACTCTGCGAAACCCTCGCGGCCGAGCTGGAAGCTCGCTGCCGAAGGAGCTCCCTCATCCCCGGCAGAACGGAATCCCCGCAGCGCCTGCCGCGGCCCAACGGCGCCGCTTCCCGAACCGCCCCCGGCTTTCGTCCCGGCCCCTTCTCTCCCCGGCGCTGTTGCTGTCATTGCTGACGCCGCGATCCCTTCGCTGCCGCTCGCGGCTCCTGGCGGTCCGTCGATGCGCGGGGCCGCTCGCCGTGCCGCCGTGTCCCCGGGGCGCTCCGGCCGGGCCGAGGTGCGGCGGCGCAGCCGTTGTTCCTCAGTGCCGGAGCGCTTCGCCCGAACGGGGGCGGACATCGCGACATCGCGGCACCGCGCACCCGCACCCGCAGTCCACTTTTTCCTATGGGCTCCACCGCGGCCGCTGCGCTTACGGCCGTTCTGTGCATTCCGGTGGGTACGGGAGCGTCCGCCCCTCCGCGCTCCTTCCCCCCCCTCCGCTGCACCGCAGCCGCGTTTAGGAAGAAACCCGGCTCAGAAAATAGGAAACCGCCGCGCTCCGCTCCACGGCGGACGGCGGTGTTGGACCCACGTGTGGCCGCACGGCGGCACCGTTAAGCCCCGCTCTCCGCATTCGTTCTCCCGCGTTTCCCGCCGACGTTTCGGCTGCCGACGTTCCGACGTTTCCCGCACCGAGCGCTGCCCGCGCCGCGCCCCCCCCCCCCGCCTGCCCCCCGGCCGCTGCGGGTCGGGCTCAGCTCAGCGCCGCCTGGCGGGGCTCCATCTGTCTGTCCGTGCGTCCCGTCCCATCCCCGCTGCGCGCCCCGAGCTGTCCGTCTGTCTGTCCGCGCTGTCCCGCCCTCCCAACCGTTCCCACGGTTCCCGGCCATTTCAGCTGCCGAGCGCCGTTTCACACCCCGCCCC